ATTTAACATAAAATCCTAAAAAAGAATTCATGAAATAGAACTAAAGGTTCCAAGATGGGTATTCCTGGGATAGGAAATTCTTTGTGATAATTTGAATTGAATTGAATTGAATTGAATTGAATTGAATTTATATACTGCCCTTCACCCAAGGATCACAGGGTGGTTTACAGTACAATAACACAAAGTGTATAAAACACTGTTGCATATTCTCTAATCCTAACCATTGGGCATGCTGACTGTGGTTCTTCCCTTATAATTCAGCAGCATCTGAAGGGCTACCAGTCACCAGTTCCTGCTGTAGCCTCAGTTTTACTCTGAAATAAAAGATTTATTAGCCCAGGGAGTTGCCTTGTGCTGTGTCAGACCATGGCTCCATCTGGGTTTCAGACAGCTCTTCTGGGAAATGATGGGGATTGAATTTTGGACTTTCCACATACAAAACAGATACCCTGCCAATGAGTTATGTCCCTTCCCCTATAGGAATTTTGGTTCCTAAATTCCTCCTACCAAATACCTAAATTTTTAATCCCTCCAGCTGAGGTTTATGCAAATATCCTCAAGAAATGAATATTTCTTTCAAGTATCCAATCATTAAAGGCTGTAACATTGACATCATTCAGCAGGAAGAACTACAGAGGTGAAGACTTCACAAGTTAATGCCAGCTAATTAATCCAGCCCATTAGACCCAAACTCTCCATGAACATTTGAAGTGCTTTTCTAATGGAACAAGCTTCTCAGTTAATAAAGTAAAGCTTGCTTCAGAGGAACGGATAGAAGCACATCTGCTGATTTATTTCCCTATCTGAACCAGGTTCCCTGCATTTGACAATACATAAGGATGTAGGAAGAAATCAGACTGTTCTGCTTGATTATTTAAATGTATTTTTTTAAAGGGGGGGCAAGCTGACACTGTTGTCTGTCTCTATCAGTGACATGAAAAAATATTTTCAAATTAAGTTACATTCGCTCCACCACATTAAATAAATGAGCCATATATTTAACTGGATATTATTAGATGTGATGAAAACTGTGGGCATATAATTTGTTTAGAAGAGACTAAATGCAGATAATATGAATAACAATGCTGTCTGGTGATAAATAGCACGCCACCTCGTTTTTTAAAAAACAACAACACAGATTTATTTTTGTAATATGTATACAGATACCAGATCAAGAAAAACAAGTTAAGAAAACATCAAGAACAACAGAAGGCTCCCCTTTGTGTTGCCACCCCATTCCTTGAAGCGTGCAACTCAGCTTACTCTTATGAGAAGCCTTTCAAAATGTACACGGCAAGCAGAATTGTTTCAGCAATGTCAACATTTCCACAAAGCAACGTGTGGAGGGTGAACAACTGGCACCTCCCTACAGTGGTGTTGCATTGTTTGCTGGTGCCTGGGGCACGCTTGCACCAGGCAGGGGCATGGCACAGAGGATATACAGAACTCACCGTGCCAGCCCAGCCCTCACTGCTACTGCTGCTAGTGGAGGGTTCACGGAGCCCATGCACCAGCCCAGCTCTCACCACCAGAGCCAGGTGGGGTGGCACTGTACCATCTGCCCACCTGCGCAGTGAGGAGCCCGGCCAGCCCCTTGATGGCCAAATCCCCTTGACACTGGGCGGACAGCCATTCAGCAAGGGAGCCGGGGGCGAGGTAGTGAGGCCAGGCTGGGCCAGGCTCAGGAGCCCAGAGACCCCATGGGGCAGGCAGGCAGGGGTGGGGATCACTGTATGGGGGGTGCCTGGTTTGTGCTCTCTGAAAATCATGGCCCCAGCCAGGGCTGTCAACGCTTAATTTATATTATTTTATTTTATTACATTTATATCCCATTGTGGCGATCACACAGGGTCCCCGGACGTTTCAGTGTGCCACCACTTTATTTCTCGCTGCCACCACCCAGGCCCTACCTGGTACAATACTGAGTCCAGACAGGGTTAAATTGGAACATAAACTTCTGTTTATTTATTGCCGTTTAACAAGCGTGAGGTTTCATAAACAGTATCGGTCAATTACAGTCATGGGGTGCCTATCCAGACCTATAACTTCCGCTACCTGCTCTCACTCACTAAACCACCTCTCAGATATTTACTTGTCTTCCTAGTTCCTAACTGTTCCTGACTCAGCTTATTTCGCTACACTAACTCAACCTCCCCACGGACTCTATCCCAATTCATTCCCACTACACCCAACTCCCCACGAACTCTACCCTTCGCCCCTCCCAGAGCTGGTTTTATAGTCCCCCTGACTCCACCCCCCTGGGTTCTGATTGGCTAACTTGTTTAACTATTTCACCTCCAGCACTCTCATATGTTATCGTCACACCCGCCTTTCCTCCAAGGAGCTCAAAATGGCATACATAATTCTCTTCCTCCCATTTTATATTCACAGCAACTTTGTGAGCTACATTAGGCTGAGTGTCACCCATTGAGCTTTGGGGGATTTTGAACCTCGGTCAGATATTAATTCAGATATTAGCCATTCATAGAAAAGTTTAAGATTAAGATTAAAAAAAATTTAGGCACTACACTAAAATCAATATCTGATGTAATTATAGAAAATTCTTATAACTATCAATAATCAGCTAACATTCCATTCCGTCTCTTGTACGAGAGGACGGCTGTTAGGAATTTAGCAACCTGTATAAGGATCCACATCTTGAAGAACCCAGGCTAGCTGTAGGTCTACTGATTTGTCAGCCATAGGCTGGATTATGGAGTTTAGTATACTGGCACGGGCTGAACTGTACAAAGGGCAGATAAACATAACATGATGTAGAGATTCAGATGTTTTCATTTCACACGCACACATTGGAGGGACTTGGCCTTTAGTGAATCTATGTCTCAGCACGTTTGTTGGAAAGACATTAAACCTAGCTCTAATGAAGGCATATCGGTGAGACGCGGCCGTAAGCGATGTTAAGTAGGACGGAGCGCGGTAGATAGGGGTTGAAGTCATCTTATACTGAGTCATACCATTGGTCCATCCAGCACAGTATTGTCTGCACTGACTGGCAGAAACCCTAGGGTTTCTGAGAGGAAACTTCCTTCTTCCTACGACATCCTTGTCGTAGGTGTGTGTGTTAATGAAGGAGATAGAAAAATGGAAACCTCTTTAACCAGGGGAGACAACTTTTGGGAACTTAGGGGACAGGTTTCCAAACAGACCTAGTGTGGAGAAATATTTCCTTTTGTCTGTCAGCTTCACTGGACCCCAAGTATTATGGGAGAGGAAGGGAAACTTATCAATCTCCACTTTGGATGATACCTTCTAGCCAAAAATTCTTCTGATAAGGTAGCAAGGCATTCTCTGAACTCTTAGAGTTCCTCTCTGTGCCATGGCACAGAGTTTTTCTAACTTTTTGCCTTCCCAGCAGGAAATAAGTAACTCTTAAAACTTTCAAACTTCATTTTGAACTAGTTTTCTCTCTTCCTACTGAAAAGCAACCTTGATCAGAGAAGCAAAACATCCCAGGCTAGAGCTGAGGGGACAGTTTGGAAAAGTACTGAAAATATGGTTGAGAGGGTAATGGTGTTTGTGGGCCGTTTAGAGATAATGTTGTAATTCAGAAGCTTTTAACTCCTGTTTGGAGAAAAGAAACAAAGCCATGATGTGCACTGGACCCCATCTGGTTAATGTCCTGTACGTTATTACTGTAAAAAAACAAACAAACAAACCCACACAAAAACAGCCCACCAGGGCCTCCATCTCTAAACTAAACAGAACACAAAACAATGGTTTATAGTATCATAAAGAGCCTACTTTAAAGCTTGAGGGTGGAGGCTTTGTATAAACTGGTGGGAATCCCATTGCCTCTGAGGGGATTTTATTTCAGTATTTATCTTGGCTGTCCTATCAATACTTCCAGAATGCATTGACTGTTGCCTCCCTGCCATTCAACCATTGTGTAAAATTATGACATTTCAAGCTGAAGAAATCCTAGTATAAAATTCTAGGAGTCTTCCTTACCTCCTAATGGAGACAGGAAAGGGTAACTAAGACTTTGAAGATAGTAAGTTATTTCATTCATATTTGTTGCCTCATAAAAGTCACTTTACGTTGCTTCAAGGTCATCTGTACATTGTCGATTTAAGATAATTGCTTGCACACTCTTCTCTTTCTCATCTGACTTTTTGGGACCGCATGTGTGACAGTGTGCACTCAGCCTTGTGTTATCCCCATGGTTCTCTGGACTGGGGTCCGTATTCAATTTGTGTGCGCGCACACACACCAGAGGTGCACTTAAGAAAATACAGAAGCACCAACTTCTGACTTACTCCAATTTTCCACAAATTAGTCCTCTGTCTCCTAGTCTTTCATGTGTGTGTGGGGGGGGGGTAAGATTTGTTCCTTTTGTTCTCGCTATTGAATAAATGCCTTAAAACATTTTATTCTACTGTATTTTATTATACATATTTGGTTTTCAGTGATTGACGAGCCTTATGGTATTTTATATATTTGCAAATCACTTAGATATTTTGTTTGTAGAAAGTGATGAATAAATGCTAATAATAATGTCACAAGCCTCCTCTGGCTTTCCATGGCACAGCTAGGGATGTCATAGAATCTCATAAGAAATTAAAACAGGAGCAGAAATTCCCACAAGTTACATGTTCATCAGGAATAGAAATCGCAAAAGGGGGCAGTATTTGCTTTTTTTTTTTTTTAGTCCACAAATGGTTCCTAAATAGTTACGTTATTTTCTCTATTGTTTTTGATGTTTCCTTTGCATTGAAACGTATTTAAATTGATTATATTATTAATTATGTTAGTTTCAGCCAAAGCAGATAGTGAAACAAATAATGCAGGTTTTAGTGGAGGCAGAACCGCAGCACAATAGAAACCGTGATGAATGTGTTGAACACAGGTTAAGACAGAAATTGCTGCCTCCTTGGATCCCTAGCTCCATCCCATATTGCCTTTTCATTGCTAAAAGAAAAATACGTGTTGTTCTGTAATCATGCTGACATGTCTGTTTTTTCCCCTCTCTCTCTCTCTAGGTCCCTCACCATATGAAAACCTTGCCCTATTACAGCTATGACCAACCGGTGATTGGATATTGCCAGGCCCACAAGCCCCTCCATGTAAATAAGGGATATGACACAATCTCCCGGGACCAGGCTGAAGCCACCAACTTGGAGTTGAGTCGAGACCACAGCTTCATTGCTACAATTGCACGTTCGGCTGCTCCAGCTATTTACATTGAGAGAATACCAAACTGATGGAATCTCTTTCCTGAGAATCAAGAGAGGGTGTGTATGGGAGGCTTCTTTTTTCTGGGGAGGGGGGAACCTTCGGGTGAAGAGGAACGAGGAGCAAGGAGAAGAAGACAACTCACCATTCCAGTTACAAATGTTTTGATGCAAACAACAGGAAAGGGGAACAAAATAAATAAATAAATGACACGTTGCTTGAGGACTGCCGTATAAGGAAATTCAGTCTAGTGACACTATAGTACCGACTGGAGAACTTGAGAATTTCCTTTGGCTTTAAACTGTCGAACTTCTTGGTGTACATATCAAAGAAAGATTGCTGAGTTCTTATATAAAAATGCGAGCGAGCGAGAGAATTAGATTTCACTCTAGCAACATAAAGGGATGGATTAAAAGTTCTGTTTGTATATTTGATTTTTCTACACTGCACGGTTCCTTCAGAGGAGAACCAGAGGTACCAATAAGGGGTGGGACGGGGAAGAACATAGAATGGAATATGAGATATTGTTTATTGTTTATTACTCTTAGAAGTAACAGAAGGTTTCTTTATTTTTCCATTTGGGGTGGGAGGGAGGGGAATAAACCAAACTGAGTCCCGTTTTCCTTTTCTTTTTCCCCCTTGAGGGGAGTGGAAGGTCAGTGTTATAATTTCAGATTCCAAACATGGTTATGTTGAACCAAATGGACATTGGCAATTCCTGGAAAAAGAACCAAGAGGCAAAAACAGACAAACCTCGGGGTGCATGTACATTTAAAACACATGCTGTACATTATAGGGAAAGGGTGACTTTTAATTTTTTCCTATCTTCATTGTGCTTCATTGTTGACACTACAATTATGTTTAGGGCTCTATAAAAAAAGAAAGAAAGAGGGAGCAGTTATTGATGACATGAGAGCTCACACTTGAACAGGACAGCTGTGCTGAATGCGGGGGGGGGGGGAGGGGACTTTGGGTATGGAAATATTCACTATATACCTGGAAATTGAGGTGGGCGGGCTGAAAATTTGATGGCTGATGTGATTTAAGAAACAAACAAATGGGAGGATGTGTAACACTGTTTGATTTATTTTTAATTAATTATTCTGATCAGTTAGCTTTTGTGTAGTTTTTATCAATAAAACGACAAAAAAAGTGGTGGGAGAAATAAACATAATATTTTGTGGTTGGGAAGCCACAGCTAAATGGATGATTCAGTGTTTTCTTTAGCTGTTTTATATTGTGACTTCTACAGTCTCGTGAGATGATACAAAGATTTAGCCAGATGAAAAAAAATGTGTTGATGTTTCAGGATCCATGGAAAGAATCTGGCCAAGGGTGGTGGCAGCTATTGTTATTGTTACCATTGCAGTTGTTTTCAGTGGTAGTAAGTTAAACACATGCTTAATGCAGTGGTAGTAAGTTAAACACATGCTTAACGCAGGTGGCGCTGTGGGTAAAAGCCTCAGCGCCTAGGGCTTGCCGATCGAAAGGTCGGCGGTTCGAATCCCCACGGCGGGGTGCGCTCCCGTCGTTCGGTCCCAGCGCCTGCCAACCTAGCAGTTCGAAAGCACCCTCGGGTGCAAGTAGATAAATAGGGACCGCTTACAAGTGGGAAGGTAAACGGTGTTTCCGTGTGCGGCTCTGGCTCGCCAGAGCAGCGATGTCACGCTGGCCACGTGACCCGGAAGTGTCTCCGGACAGCGCTGGCCCCCGGCCTCTTGAGTGAGATGGGCGCACAACCCTAGAGTCTGTCAAGACTGGCCCGTATGGGCAGGGGTACCTTTACCTTTACCTTAATGCTTCCAATGCTTCCAATGAGAGATCAAAGCTTTGGGATGGATGGGGTTCTTATTTCTTCTTCATTCCCCGCCCCCTCAATGGAACCCCAATCTTATTTCATTATGCAGGCAAGAAAAGAAAAGCTGGCTGGATAACTTGCGGAAGCATGTGGTGGAAGCTTTTCAAATCATGCTGACAAAAGTCAAACACTTATTTGGGCAACCCAAGAGGTTTAAAGTCCAACCCCTTAAGTATGATCACTGACTTTCACAAGAACGAGTACTGCACCGGGATTGGTTGGATTAAGGTTGCATCATTGTTCACACTTCCCTAGTTTAACTCACAAACAGTACAGAATTTTACAATTGCCCATTGACTATTGAAGGAGAACCAGAAACAGCTGGGATAGAGAAGAAACCTGTACTAGAATAATTGACACTATCAGCCAGTCCTAGATTGGGCATTGATGTTAATTATTAGCACTCTAAGCCAGCAGTCATTTAATTTCAGCACGGCACTATAGAAAACATGAAACTGATAGCATTCCTGTCCAAAGGATTTACCATCCACAGTGCTGCAACAATCTTCTCACCTACCATTCTAAGCAACTTCAAACATCTTCCTTTCAAAGCACTTGTGATGGCTCAACTAGGCATAAAACTTGGGATAGGGTGAGAAATTCAGTTGGGTTCTCCTAACAACTCTCAGCACCTTTAACAAACCAAGGTTCCCAAGGTTACTAGAGGGAGGTAATGACTGTTAGCATAGCATTAGAATGCTTTAAATGTATGAGGCAACACAGCTAGAAGAAACTATAAAGGAAAGGAAGGAGGAGCCAGCAACATTCAAAATAACTTAGTGGTAGTGGCACCTGGTTTCTGCAAGAAAAAGTTTCATTTGGGCCAAGTTTGGAGGTAAGAGCATGCATGAGTGAATGGAATCAGAGTTAGCTTTTTGGATTCTGAAACAATGAGCTTCAGAACTTGTCTGCACTGAAGCTGTGTGCAGGCAGTAGATTTGCAGAATTTCAAGCCAATGGATGTGTCAATTGCCTGTGGTCCTCATGTTCATATATTGTGCCTCAATGGACTCTAATCAAACTAGTCTCACTTCAAAATGACCCCCTCTAAAATATATAGATAGATGATAGATAGATGATAGATGATAGAGATAGATAGATATATATAGATAGATATAGATAGAGATAGATAGATAGATAGATAGATAGATAGATAGATGATAGATAGATAGATTAGATAGATAGATAGATAGATAGATAGATAGATAGATAGATGATAGATGATAGATAGATAGATAGATAGATAGATAGATAGATAGATAGATAGATAGATAGATAAGGTGAGAAATGTCCCCTGCCTGAAACCCTGGAGGGCCATTGCCATTGCTCTGCTAGATGGATTGAAGATGAGATTCAGTAGAAGGCTACCTTACATTCTTAAACAATGGGCTACATCTAGCTAAGTTATACTCAGGATAGACCCACTGAAGTTAATGGACATAGGTTTGTCATGCCCATTAATTTCAACTGATCTATTTGGAGTGGTAGTAACATTGGTTACAATCAAATGGTAGCAGAGCTAGGAAATACCGTATTTTTTGCTCTATAAGACTCACTTTTTCCCTCCTAAAAAGTAAGGGGAAATGTGTGTGCGTCTTATGGAGCGAGTGCAGGCTGCGCAGCTATCCCAGAAGCCAGAACAGCAAGAGGGATTTCTGCTTTCACTGGCTTCTGAGATTCCGAATATATTTTTTATTGTTTTCCTCCTCCCAAAACTAGGTGCGTCTTGTGGTCTGGTGCATCTTATAGAGTGAAAAATACGGTACTTTGGAAAGCCACTGACAGTGAGAGGAGGCATCAGAAAATTAGATGGGTAAATGGTCTGATTCATTATTCAGGCAACCTAATATGTTTGCTTTGGCTGCAGCCATCAAATGCACTGGTTTCACTCTTCTTCCCTTTCTCCTTCCCTCCAACACTGGCAAAACTACCCAAAATTGCTGGGACTTTTCTTTTAAAAAAGTTTTATCTTTTAGCAGAGATGGCTGAACCCTCTTTGGCTCAATTCAGAATTGGGCTAAGTAAACGGAGCTACTTCCTGATGAAAAATACTGGGGTAGCAATGAATCCTGTTTTTTAAAACTGTTGATTTTTACCAGAAATTCTATGCTCATCATGAAGCAATGTTTTTAATGTTTAATGATTTTTTATTTTTGTTGGAAGCTGCCTAGAGTGGCTGGGGCAACCCCGTCAGATGGGTGGGGTATGAATGTTGCTGCTGCTGTTGAATCAGAGAAATGTTTGAGGGTATGCAATCCCTCTCCTCCCCCAAAAAACCCAGTCTATATTTGCTTATTGGACATACATTTTCCAGCAGTCTGCAGTGGTACAGCCCAGTTACAGTTTTATCATTGCAATGAAAACTAGATTCCCAATCTTTTTTGGCCCCAGGGGCATGTTTGGAAAACTAGTAAACTGTTGTGAGGATCACAAAATACCCATTTCACAGAAGAAATGCTGATGTTCAGGTGCCCTCCCCAGAAATGAAAGCAAGGCAAAACATTTACACAACCCAAAACAGAATAAAACAGACAAAAGATCTCCCTCACACACACAAAAAGGCAAGAAAGATAGATAGATAGATAGATAGATAGATAGATAGATAGATAGATAGATAGATGATAGATAGAGATGATAGATAGATAGATAGATAGATAGATAGATAGATAGATAGATAGATGATAGATAGATGATAGATAGATAGATGATAGATGATAGATAGATAGATAGATAGATAGATAGATAGATAGATAGATAGATAGATAGATGATAGATAGATAGATAGATGATAGATATAGATAGATAGATAGATGATAGATAGATTAGATAGATAGATAGATAGATAGATAGATAGATAGATAGATGATAGATAGATAGATGATAGATAGATAGATAGATAGATGATAGATAGATAGATAGATACCATAGATAGATAGATAGATAGATAGATAGATAGATAGATAGATAGATAGATAGATAGATGGATAAAATTGGGAGTAGCATGAGATTCTGTGATGCCCAAAACAAACATGCTGGAGACCTCAGCTCTAGAATACAGAACATCAAGTGGGGGGGGTATGATAATACGATTCTCTGTCAGCCCGCATCCCTTTTCAACTTCATATATATGATTTTCGTTACTGAATAATGGAACAGAACAAGGTTTTCATAATTATAAATCAATGCAATGGATAAATGAGAAGGGGGAGAAATCTGTGAGTTTAACAAAAAGACCCAACTGCTGTAAACAGGACATCAACAGGACTTGGTTCAAGAATTGGCAGCCTTTAGCTAGGAATCCAGGTGCACAGCCTGTGCTAGGAAAGGCAAAGGGGGGGGCGAGTATTTCTCATTCATTATTTAATGGTGACTGAACCATCTCCTGTATACTTCCTACTCTGTGAGCTCATTCTGCATAGAAAAGCCATTCACAAACTGATCTCTACAGACAGCTCTTGGGAACCTGGTGCTTGAGTCAGGCCTGCAGCCTTTCCCTATTCTAGCCTTCTGCCACCCACACAAGCAGTCAATGAACTGACGATTCTGCTGATGGCTGTTTATGCGTCAGCAGAGGAGCCAGGCAACCCTGCCAACAATCCTGTCTATCCCTTTTCTCTTCCAAGGGGATGTTTGGAAGGATTAATCAGTTAATTGTTTGCACAGAGATGGATGCAAAGACAAATCTGCATTACACTGTAGCAGCACCAAAATGTAAAAGCTCAGA